TAGTCTTAAGAAACCTGGGGCACCTGGGTGGCTGTCGGTAGAGAATGCAGCTCTTTATCACAATTGTGAGTTCAAACTCCACATTGTGTGTAGAGATAGAAAGAAAGAAAGAAAGAGAGGGAGGGAGGGAGGGAGGGAGGGAGACCCAAGAGGCAGGAGGCCTATTCGCCATAGAAGTTTGTGGGTCACATGTTGCAGCTAACCTTCTCTAGAAGAAGGGAAGGAGGTGCTACATAGTTCCTTTTGGTAATATATTTCCTTTGTATTATTCACAGGGCAGGACTAAGAAGTTAATCACTAAAATTATCAAGAAATTCACCCCATTCTAAACTATTATGTAGCATATGGTATGAATCCAAACAGATGTGTTGGATCACTGATGCAAACAGGATTATTTTTTAAATCAATATTAAAATATTTATTTCATGCTTTCTTACACATCTCACATCATGATATTTAAAAAAAATGTCTTCCCTTGGATTACATCAAAATTTAAAACTCTTGTACATCAAGGGACACTATCAACAGAATGAAAGTCAACCTACAGAATGGGAGAATATATTGCAAATCATATATCCATAAGAGGTTAATATTTAGGAATGCTTGCCTGGCTCAGTTGGTGGAGCATGCAACTCTTGATCTCAGGGTTGTGAGTTCAAGTCCCATGTTGGGGGTAGAGATTACTTAAAAATAAAATCTTAAAAAAAATTTTTAAAGGGGTTAATATCTAGAATATATAAAGAACCCCTATAACTCAACAACAACAACAGTAAAACAAGCTGATTGAAAAAATGGGCAAAGGACTTCCACAGACATATTACAAAGAAGAGATACAAATGGCCAATAAGCAGAAATAAAACATGTTCAACATCACTAATCATTAGAGAAATGCCAGTGAAAACCACAATGAGATATCACTTCACACCCATTAGGATGGCTATCATAAAAACAAAATCAAGCAAGCAAGGAAACAAACAATAACGCATATTGGCAAGGATTTGGAGAAATTGGAACACTTGTGCACTGTTGACAGGAACGTAAAATGGTGCAGACATTATGGGAAACAGTATGGAGGTTCCTCAAAAAGTTAAAAGTAGGGGCTCCTGGGTGGCTCAGTCAGTTAAGTGTCTGCCTTTAGCTCAGATCATGATCTCGGGGTCCTGGGATTGGCCCCGCAGCATGAGGCTCCTTGCTCAGTGGGGAGTCTGCTTCTCCTTCTCCCTCTGCCCCTCCCCCCCGTGCTTGCTTGCTCTCTCTCTCTCTCTCTCATGCATGCTCTCTCTGTCTCAAATAAATAAATAAAATCCTTATTTTAAAAAAGTTAAAGGGGCACCTGGGTGGCTCAGTCATTAAGCGTCTGCCTTCGGCTCAGGTCATGATCCCAGAGTCCTGGGATAGAGCCCCTTGTTGGGCTCCCTGCTCAGTGGAAAGCCTGCTTCTCCCTCTCCCACTCCCCCTGCTTGTGTTCCCTCTCTCGCCATGTCTCTCTCTGTCAAATTAATAAATAAAATCTTTTTTAAAAAATAAAAAAAGTTAAAAATAAAATTACCATATGACCCATTAATTCCACTCTGGGTAAATACCCAAAAGAATTGAAAGCAGGAACTCAAACAGATATTTGTACAGCCACATTCAGAGCAGCATTAGTCACAAGAGCCAAAAGGTGGAAGCAGCTCAAGAGCCCCTTGATAGATTAATAGGTAAATAAAATGTGGTATACATACAGTGGAATATTACTCAGCCTTAAATAGGAAGAAAATTCTGACAAAAGCTATAACATGGAATAACCTTGAAGACATTCTGCTGAGTGAAATAAGCCAATCATAAAAGGACAAAAACTGTATGATTCCACTTCTGTGAGGTGCCTAGAGTAGTTAAATTCATAGAAACAGAATGTTGAATGATGGTTACCAAGACGTGGAGGAAGGAAGGCACGAGGAGTTATTAATTAATGGGTACATTTGGAAAATAAAGAATGTTCTGGAGCTGGATGGTGGTGATGGTTTCTCAACAGTGTGAATGTACTTATGCCACTGAACTGTACACTGAAGAATGGTTAAAATGGCAAATGTTGTGACCACAGCTTACAAAAAGTAACTTGTGGGGGGGCGCCTTGGTGGCTCAGTGGGTTGAGCGTTGGACTCTTGATTTCGGCTCAGGTCATGATCTCAGGGTCATGAGATTGAGCCTGCATTGGGCTCTGTGCTCAGCATGGAGTCTGCTTGGTATTCTTTCTCTCCCTCTCCCTCTGCACCTGCCCCCCACCCTGGATTGCGCTCATGAGCTCTCTCTCAAAATAAATAAGTGAAATCTTAAAATAAAATGTAACTTCTAGTAAGACATACCTCTTTCTGATGTGGCAAAGCACATCTGTGTGTCCTTTTCCTCGGCGAACAATGTTTCTGTCGAAAGCTTGGTCTCTGGAATATCTCTCTTAACGATGACTTTCCAGACAATGAACTTTTTCATTGTAATTAGTGGGCAATGCCACAAGATGTCACTATTTAGCTGAAAAACTCTTCCAATTCAGTTCGGTAGCTGGTAACAGTAAGTAAAGCCAGAGCAACAGACAAAAGCCTCTAACTCTCCTCATCAGTGCTTTACTCCTACAAATACAGTTTTCTGGGAAAGAGAAGGTTTCCATCTTTGAAGTATATTAGTAAGCTATTCCTTTTTTTTTTTAAAGATTTTATTTATTTATTTGACAGAGAGAGAGATAGCGAGAGCAGGAACACAAGCAGGGGGAGTGGGAGGGGGAGACGCAGGCTTCCCGCCGAGCAGGGAGCCGGATGTGGGGCTCCATCCCAGGACCCTAGGATCATGACCTGAGCCGAAGGCAGATGCTTAAGGACTGTGCCACCCAGGCGCCCCAGTAAGCTACTCTTGTTTATGAAACTTACATTAATATTTGTTAACCTAATAGGTACTGTTTTTCATTATAAATCAGATTGGTGTAACAAAAACATAATTAACTTTGAAAGTGATAACAGTGTAATACAAAGCTGAAATGTAAAGATTATTTTTTTAAAGATTTTATTTATCGGGCGCCTGGGTGGCTCTGCTGGTTAAGCGACTGCCTTCGGCTCAGGTCATGATCCCGGGGTTCTGGGATGGAGCCCCATGTCGGGCTCCCTGCTCAGCTGAGAGCCTGCCTCTCCCTCTCCCTGCTGCTCTGCCTGCTTGTGCTCTCTCTCTCTCTGTGTCAAATAAATTTTTCTTTTTTTAAAAAAAGATTTTATTTATCTATTTGAGAGAGACAGCTTGAGTGGAGAGAGAGAGAAGCAGACTCCCTGCTAAGCAGGGAGCCCGATGTAGATTCTATCCCAGGACCCTGAGATCATGACCTGAGCCAAAGGCAGACACTTTACTGACTGAGCCACCCAGGCGCCCCTGAAATGTAAAGATTATTGATCACTGAAAGTCAGGTAGCATGTGGCTTTAGCACTAAATTATGTGTGACCTTGATAAGTCATTTAATTTTTCTGATCTCACCAGAGTAGTAAAAATTTCCTTTCTTAGGTCAATATACACTACTATATATTTAATATATGCTAATATATATTTAAATACATTCTTCTAATTCTGAAATATTTTGGTTTTTATAGTAGATCGAATTATAACTGTTCAAATACAGTATCAAAAGTGAGTTCAGTAATAGAAAATATAATCTGCAACAAAACATTAGGAAATATAATAAGACTTCTTGACATCTTGGGTAATTATTTTAGGAAAGTACTCACATGTATAAAACAATTGTAAAGTAGTATAAAAACTCTTGAAATGAAAAAAAAACACATTTGTTACTGAGAATATTTTTTTAAAAAGATGATGGAATATTTTAAGCTTTCCTTAAATATAAAATTCTCAAGATTCAAGAACACAGCAACTCTTAAAGATTACACTATTTGAATTGGTAATATTACCTGCTAACTATAATCCAAATAAATTATTTTTTAAACTTCTAATTTTTGCAAGCAGTTTATAATTGATTTAATAATACCTAAAAATAATCCAAAACCCAAATGCCAACCCTGGGTGAACTGCAGGACACTAGGGTATATTAATAAAAGAGAGCATATTTTTATTAGTAGTTAACAGTTATTAGGATTAAGGTTACATTATTAGGTTAAGAAAGACTATCAAAGGCGGGGTGAGAACACAGAACTCAGAATGATATGACGAGAGTGTAGTGCCTGGTTTAGAATATTGACAATTGTTTTGTTTCTAACATGAAATTTTTGTTTAACTCTTAAAAACTTAGATCTTTGTTTAACTTCATGTCCGGATGATTAAATATGTAAACGGAAAGAAAAGAACGACTTGTTAAAATTTGCGTGATTCTTTTGAACATCGGAAGCTAAATACAAGATTGATATTTCATGTCACAGTGTCACTTCTCTCATACATTTGGGGGGGTGTATGTGTGTGGTGGTAGTGGCGGGGGGGGGGAATCTCCCAGTGTGAGAGCAGTCTGCGAGGGGCAGAGTGGGGGAGGACCTTCCTGTCCCATTCATAACACGTTCATTCACTGCGAGCCGGCGAAAACGGACTAATCTCTCAGGCAGTCATTCCCTCTACCCTAATAAGACTCCACCACCTCTCCTAGAACTCGGTAAGTTGAGTGCAGTAAAAATGCATGTTTCCCAGTAACAATCTGAAATGATTTTGTAGTTTATCGGAGAGTGAAGATGGGAGGGGGTGGAGGTGGCAATTTTCAGGCATCGCTTTGCTTTCGTCTTTGCACGGGTTTCAGAAGATATAAAACGATTATTTAGACAGTAAGCGATTTTCTCAGAGGGTCTCTCTCAGGCTGCTGCTGCCCACTGGAAACCAGCGTATGCGAACCGTAGACGGTACGGGAAGGGGACTTCGTAGATGCATTTGCAGCAGCCGTCTCTGCCCCTGTCCCCAGGTCCGAGGGATGCTGCTTTCCTGGCCCAGCCACCACTGAAGCGCCCAGGCGTCCGGGAAGACCCGAACTGAGCGCGGACCCGCGGACCATGAGTCCTCTGAGGCTGCGAGCGTCGCTGTCGCTGCTGCTGCTGGGTGGCTGCCTCCTCGCGGCCGCCCGGAGAGACCAGGGGGCGGCAGGCAGCGCGGCGGAGCCGGCCTCTGGTCCCGCGGGCGGCTCGTCCGGCCGCTTCCTCAGCCGCGAGCGGCACGCGTGCAGCTGGCAGCTCCTGAGGCGCGCCCCAGGGCCCGCGGCGGGGAGCGAGCTGGCGCTGCGCTGCCTGGACCCGGCCGGGGCGCTCCAGCAGTGCGCCTACCTTGGCGATCCGGAGCGCTGCGCCGCCTACGCCGCCCGCGGCTCGCTCTACTGGAAGCAGGTGCTGGGCCGGCTGCGCAAGAAGCGGCGGCCGTGCCAGGATCCCGCTCCGCTCAAGGCTCGCCTGTGCGCGGGCAAGAAGGGCCATGGCGCCGAGCTGCGCCTGGTGCCCCACGGGTCCTCACCCGTGCGCCCCACCGCCGCCGGCTTCCCCCGGGATCCCGAGCCCCGGGTCAGGAGCCGGGGGCGGCTCCGGGAGCCCGCTCCCGCCCCAGCCAGAGGGGCCCGACTTCCCGCGAGCAAGTCTCCTGGGGGGAAGCCCTCTGAGAAGGCCAAAGCGGACAAGAGGAAGGCGGCCTCGGACCCAGAAGAGGAGCGACCCCTGGGGACCCGGCCCGATCCCGAAGGGTTGGACGAGAACGCAAAGCTCACGGAGACCTACTGTGCTGAGAAGTGGCACTCCCTTTGCAACTTCTTTGTCAATTTCTGGAATGGCTGAGGCTGCCGGGCCCCGGGAGGAACATGGGTGGGGGGAGGTACGCAGCCAGGGAGGAGACGTTAAGGGCATCTTAGGCCAAGAGATAAGGGATGGAGCGTGGGGAGGAGTCCAGGTTCTAGAATGGGGCTGGGGAGGTGGGAGGGCATGGGCCTCGGGATGGGAGTGTAAAGGGTATGGAGAATCTCTGAGACAGCAGAGACGTTTAATTTTTGGAAAAGTCCGACCCTGATGAAGAGCAGAAGAAATAGTGGAAACAGAAGTAGGCATACCTTAAATGTACAAAAACTGTAGACTGGGAGAGAGACGAGCACAGAGGGAGGCTGGAAAAAAAATAAGGTGGAAAAGTGACGAAAGCGATGTAAATCTCATGTGGGAAGCAGGATACATATATATTCTTTAACACATTTATATTAAAATGTCATCACGAGCAATTGGTAACCTGAGCCGGGTTGAATTGTTTAGTGACTTCTCACCCAATCAGATGACAAGATTCCCAACTTTTTTTCCTTTTGGAATTAGTATGAACTTGGGTACTGCTTGGTGTCATAGATGACCTCTGTTCGGATAGAAGCCATTCAGAGGTCCAAATTGCCTCCAATGAGAAGGTTTTCAGGATGGTTGCCCTTGGATTCTTTTAGAAGTGTTACTTTTAAACACAGAATGCCTTACGTTCTTTTGAAACTTTCCCATTAACCTTTTAAATTCAGAGGTGAATTGTAGTGCTCACGTAGGTTTCTAAAAAGAATTCTTTATATTTTATCATTTTTTTAAAGAAATAGCTGAGGGGCGCCTGGGTGGCTCAGTCGGTTGAGTGGCTGCCTTCGGCTCAGGTCATAATCCCAGGGTCCTGGGATCAAGCCCCGCGTCGGGCTCCCTGCTCGGCGGGGAGCCTGCTTCTCCCTCTCCCTCTGCCTGCCTCTCTGCCTACTTGTTCTCTCTCTGTATCTCTCTGCCAAATAAATAAATAAAATCTTAAAAAAAAAAATAGCTGAAATTAAGCATGTATCTCAGAGTCATTTGGGCCATTATGGAAGTTATATCTCTGTTTCATGTAATTGATTGTTAACATATTTCATTTTAAGTAAGATGTAATGATAACTTTGCACATGTTAGGTGCTCAATAAAAACTGTATGACTCGATTTAAAGAACTGGCAGGGCAATGGAAATTCTGACCGCATATAATATAGTTCTGAGTATACCTTGAAGTAAGTTCCCAAACATCTCCCGAATTGCTAGGAAAAGACAAGAAGTCTGCATAAAGCAAGAGTGACAAACTGGCAAACCCTGGGGTGTATCATTGCTCTGCTTGGCCTGCATGTGGTTCTCTTTCATTTTTCCTCTTCTTCTTCCCTCCCAATTTAGATTTGTTGCCAGCATTTAAAAATTTTAAAATTTCATATAAAAATTCAGATTTCCGAATTCTCTTAAAAAACTAGATCTGCAGGGGTGCCTGGGTGGCTCAGTCAGTTAAGCGGCTGGCTTTGGTTCAGGTCATGATCCCGGGGTCCTGGGATGGAGCCCCGTGTTGGGCTCCCCGCTCAGCGGGAAGCCTGCTTCTCCCTCTTCCTCTGTCTGCCCCTCCCCCTGCTTGTGCTCTCTCTCTATCTCTCTCTCTCTGCATCAAATAAATAAAAAAAAAATCTTAAAAAAAAATTAGATCTGCAAACATTTGGACCTCCCTTCCCATATGGCAACAATTGGCTGACACTAAATATTGGCTGTCCCCTTTAGATTAGGCATGTTTTCTAGAGTTCTCTGCACTGCTCCTACAAATCTTATCAATAAACTTTATTCATTTATATTACAAGCCTGAGCCCATAAGACATTTAAGCTCCTGATGGATATAAGGCTTTTACCTTTTTGCTGACCATCTGTTCTTCTCACACCCTTCCCTTCAAAATAGTGGTAAAGGTAACAATCTTACAGATAGTAAACATCTCCTGAACTCTTTCCTCTTTGACCAGCCTCTAGGAAATGTTAACTATCTCTTATCTATTCTGTAGATTCTTATATTCATACAATTGGCAAAATATTCAGATTGCACATTGTTCCAGGCCAGGTTTATGAGGTCACATTCTGAGTAACATTGACCATTAGATAAAATTCATCTTGGCCAGAGAAAGGAAGTTCAGAGTAGCTAGAGACCACTCCCTTAAGATAGGGACCAATGTACACTTTCTCTAAAAAGTTTGGCAAAATTTGGGTGTCATCAAAGAAGGGTATTAGAAATGAAACACCACTGGGACGCCTGGGTGGCTCAGTCAGTTAAGCGCCTGCCTTCGGCTCAGGTCATGATCCCAGTGCCCTGGGATCGAGTCCCGCATCAGGCTCCTTGCTCAGCAGGGAGCCTGCTTCTCCCTCTGCCTGCAGCTCCCCCTGCTTGTACCCTTGCTCACTCTCTCGCCCACGCTCTGTCTCTCTAACAAATAAATAAAATCTTTAAAAAAAAAAAAAAAGAAATGAAACACCACTGTCTAGAACCATAGCTAGAATGATAGTTTACCTCTCCATACAAGACAAATGTCAATCCTTCTTGTGTGCCCTTTGACAGTCTGATAAACTTACTTCTACGAAAGAAGCACAGGCCAAATTCTAGGCCCAAGTACACAATGCAGATTGCTACTGCTTTTGATCCTTTACTCTTTAAGAAGAACTATACCAGGACTTCATCTCAAGAACAGAATACGGACTGATATTCTTTTTTTGCAGTGAAAGGGAAATGGACACATCCTGACATCAGCTTCTGGAGTGACTTTGACTTGACTAAGTCCCAATGTCCCCAATATGTACACTGAGGGGAGTTAGGCTAGGTTAAATCTGAGGTCCCTATGGCACACTACTCGCACTCCAGAATCCTATACATCGTTTTGCATAGTGATAATAACACGTGAAAATCAACAACTACTCTGTGTACAGTACCACATGTTATACCTCAAGAAAGATTATGGAGTTGGAAAAGCTCCAGAGAAAGACAACTGAAATAGCCAGGGAAGTAGAAAAGGCTTCTGTATCTGGAGCATCTAGAAAGATTTGGAAGGCTGGGCCAGAAGGACGAATCTGTAGGTGGGAGAAGACAGGATCAAATGTCTAAAATAATGAGGAGGATGGACAGGGAGAACTTGGGTATTCTCCCCCCGCAGGTGCCATCAAGAGGGGGAGGGGAACCTGGCTGGCTCAGTTGGAGTGGAGTGTATGGCTCTTGATCTTGGGGTCTTGAGTTAGGGCCCCACATGGAGTGTAGTGATTACTTAAAAATAAAATCTTTTTTTTTTTTTTTTAAAGAGAAGGGAAAGTTGCCAGGGCACCTCCGAGTTTACTGTCAGACCTGGGATCATCATGGACATCAGATATAGCAAGACATCTGTCACTCAGGCTATTGGAGACAGAATTTATTAAAAGTGTTGAACCATCTTATTCTCTTGTACTTCCCAAATTATTTAGCACAGAGATAGCAGGAAAAAGTGGAATTTTACCCATGTACTCTATACCCAGTTTGCTTGTCTTTATTTTTAAACATTTCATTCATGTATTTCAGAGAGAGAGACAACATGAGCAGGAGGAGGGGCAAAGGGAGAGGGAGAAGCAGACTCCCTGCTGAGTGGGGAGCCTGACCCGGGGCTCTATCCCAGGACACCGAGATCATGACCCAAGCCAAAGTCAGATGCTTAACAGACTGAGCTACCCAGGTGCCCCTCCCAGTTTGCTTTTCTGAACTCATCTCTACTAGGCAAATCTTTTCTTTTTTTATTTCTTTATTATTATTACTATTATTATTAATTCTAAGTAGGCTCCACATCCAATGTGGGGCTTGAACTTGGACCCTGAGATTAAGAGTCACATGCTTTACTGCCTGAGCCAGCCAGGTGCCCCCCAGGCAAAGTCTTTTCAACCTTTAAAGTCCTTCAGTCTCTGTTTCAGTTTTTCCTGACATACCACCAACATTTTGATCCTTTAAAACAACATTTTCACCCAATGACTTAGCTATGGTTTGTTTATTTGTTTTAAGATTTTATTTTTAAGTAATCTCTACACCCAATATGGGGCTCGAACTCATGATCCCAAGATTAAGAGTCACATGCTCTACCAACTGATCCAACCAGGCACCCCACTTATGATTTTAAGTAAAGACAGGATCAGCAACAGTACTATGGGAAGCTATACTGGAGCCTGAGGCGAGAAAGGAAAATCAGTGAAGAATGATACTGTCTTCATTGAAAATTTTGATGTTTTGTTTATCAGGGATTGTTTTGCATTAATTTTGATTTTTTAAAAAATATTGCATTAAAACATTTTTTATCTTTTTTTTTTTTTTAAAGATTTTATTTATTTATTTGACAGAGAGAGACACAGCAAGAAAGGGAACACAAGCAGGGGGAGTGGGAGAGGGAGAAGCAGACCTCCTGCGGAGCAGGGAGCCCGATGCGGGGCTGATCCCAGGACCCTGGGATCACGACCAGAGCCGAAGGCAGACGCTTAACGACTGAGCCACCCAGGCGCCCCAAAACATTTTTTATCTTGACTAGTGAGGTTGTTGGTACTCCATTATATTTTGCACCCGAGGCAAAGAGCCTCCAGTCCCTCTTGCCTCCTAGTCCTGGCCCTAGGAGGCAGCCCCTGTGATGTGGGCAGGCACTGCTATTGGAGTCAGGGATGACCAGTTTGAATACTAGTTCTGCCCACCTCCTACTCTGGGTTACTTTGAGAAGGTCGCTTAATCTCTTCATGTTTCTTTCTCTTCTCTTGTTGAAGAAGAGTTACCTACTTCCAGGGTTACCATGAAGAATAAATTATGTAACATATTGGATACCGCCCAGCACCATGCAATATTTGCCATGTAATAGGTACCCAATAAATATTATTACATCTTCTTCCCTTACAGAATGATACATTTTAAAATGACTTAATTAAACAATAAACATATAATTGTTGATAATGTGCCAGATGCCCTGGACTTTGGGGCTCAGGAAGCGGGGTGGGGATGCCCTGACAGAGTATCAGC